CCCCAAAACCCCAAAACCCCAAAACCCCTTCACTTAAAAATACAAACGATTATCAATAATAGAATTATAAACATAAATGTTTTGTTTTCTATATTGGCTGTCTAAACAGCTAAATACTTACCTTCTAGGATTGTCACTGCTGCTAAGTATATCGGGTGGCATGCTATCTATTATATTTGCTTCTACAATAAAAAGAGAGTTAGCATTCAAAGCCTTTTCTAATTATCTCAAAAAGTCTATGATTGAGGTAGTAAGTTAAGTAGGTGCAACTGTTGGAGCTTTTATTATTGTAATTAGCTTGATAGGCATACTCTTCCTCACTCCTTTCCAAAGAAGATGGATGTATTATATATACTCACCAATCATGCTTTTGAATTTTGCCATTATGATAGCTCTTGGCTTATATATAAATGCTATGGGAGATATAGGAGGTAATCTGATTTAAGACTATTGCGATGATAGATTTGAAAGATGGACTAAATTAAACCTGGGTAAGTTTCCTGCCAACCTCGATAAACACTACTCTGATCTCGAGAAAAATCTTCTCTGCTCCAAAACATGCTAATGCCCTAAGATTAATTTCAATTTATGGACTACAAGCAAGCTAACATCCAATATCAATAATATCTAAGTTGACTATAACTCTAAGTATTTCACTGGGAATCAATAGAATGTGCTATATTGTTTAAATGACTATGCCAAGAACAATCAATATTTTGACTATGATGTTATTAATTACTTAACCTATATTGAAGGCAATCATGATTGTGCTGGGATCTGCCAGCCTATCTACTTTTATACCTTTACTGACATATAAGCTGGGCCACCTACCTAATCTTGCAGGACTTTTATTTAGGATGATTTTATGGGAAGTGAAGGGGTGTTTAGAAGATATTCTTTGATATACTTCGTAGCAGGAGCTTTTGTATTTATGGCATGGTTTTTCTCTTTTGGAATATGCTTTAGGACCGAATAAAAATCAAGAACTAGAGTAGAGATCAATAAGTGAGCTCTAGATATACAATAAAATCTTATTCATTAATTTTGATCGTTTTAAATAAGAATAGATTCGTAAGACTTATTAATCACTTAGCATGGGGTTTTGGGGTTTTGGGGTTTTGGGG